CCTCTTAGAACTTGAGGTCCTCTCAGCCTTGTCGGTCCATGTCAGCCCCCAACCTGGAGCTTCCACCTAGATGTTGGTTGGTGCAGTTCTGCCACAGACTGTATGAGGTTCCATGGAACCATGAATTGGGACTCAGCAGTCACTTTGTAGTCAGGTTGGGTCTGAATTCTTCCCTTGTCCATCTTATTTACTTTCACAAAGACATGGGGTTATGGGCCAGGCTATATGAGCAATGACCAAACACACTGCATTTATCCTGAGACTCCATGTCATGTAAGAAATGCTTCTCCCATGAGAAAATTCTGCCTCTGCCATCCTGATCCTGCTTAGCACACCCTGCTTAGAAACAATTTTTTTTCTTTCTTATATAATGTAAAATGTTTTTGGTTCCCATTTTTTTTTTGGACAGTGTATCCTGTCAGAAAAATATTGTCTAGATGTTAATAACTATTTTTTAACTGGTACTCAAATGGGGTCATTTGACTTTCTTCCCCTTCTGCTTATGGTTTTAGATATCATGTTGTTTGTTTAGTTTGAATCATAGCAAGAGCCTCTTATAATTAATGTGGTTTTGGTCTATAAAGCTGTACTCTGACCTTTGAAGGGGTAGAAGAGTATAAACTTGCAATCTTTCCCCTTAGCCTATCCGCTGGTAAATCCAGACTACCAGCTGATGAATAAATATTCCATCTCCTGTTTAAGATAGCTCAGTGATTTATTTCAATCTTGCCATAACAACTGTCAGAGCAATATTTTACACCCCCATATTATACAAAACAAAGGAAGTCACGGTTTCCCCTATGCTTGCTGACACCAATCAGAGATTAATTAGGTGACTCCCTAAATCCTTTTTTGTTTTTAAAGAGAGAGTAAGTGAGAGAAATGGAGAGAGAGAGAATTTTAATATTTATTTTTTTTTTTGTATTTGTCGGACATAGTATCTTGTATGTATGTGGTGCTGAGGATCGAACCTGGGCCACACGCATGCCACTCGAGTGCACTACCGCTTGAGCCACATCCCCAGCTCCCCTGAATCCTTTTTGGCCCCAATTCCTTTGGGAGGTTATTCAGGACCCTCAGATGTTGAACAAGCCTCTCTCCCACCTACGTGGGCCTCTTGGTTGAAGTCAGATGGGACACCACTGAAGAACCTGGGACCTACCTGTTTGGTCAGGTGGTGCTCCACGTTCCCTATTCCTGGATCCTTCTCCTCATGGGTTCTGTTGTGCTTCAGGGTGGCAGCTCTGAGATGTCAGGTGAGTCATTCCTCCTTCAGTAGAGTTGCCTCTGTGGTGTGCTAAGGGGAAGCAATGTCCTCCAACACCCCAGATTCCAGAGACAAGAGAGGCAACTTCACCATTTCCATCCCATGTGGATTGCCAAATGATGCAGGACAGATGACGCTGCACACCCGAGGAACTAGCAGAAGGAAGGTTCATTGGCTACAGCTGGTTCAGAGTGTGGCTATATCCTGAAATTTCCTCCACTGAACCATGAGTCTAGAAACTCTTTGAACTTTATACCCACTGGGAGGAGGGGCTTGGATTTCCACTTTTGCTGGAGTCTACCTAAAAGTATCTTTTTTTTCTTTGAGTTCATAAAGAGAGCTTTTGTCTCACTTTTTTTCTTTTTTAGATGAGTCAGAAGTTATATGATTTACCACAAAAGCAGAAGTAACCTCACAAAGTCTTTTGCCAAAATTAGCTTTTACAAGACAGAGTAACAGGAAATAGAAAGTCTAACCACATTTGAGGGTTTTTTTGCAGAATTTTTTTTCTGATATTCTCTTAATAAGAACACATATGTTGAAGGTACCTGTGGAAGTTTAATTAAGGTTATTTGGTGGAGGAGGGCGCACCACTACACTCAGGGTCTTCACACAGATTCAATAGGTCTTATTGATTTCTCCTGGGGCTCATGGATTTCAGAGCCATCCTCAGAGTCCTCTTTGTCTTCAGGATCTTTTACATGTTCTCCATGAGGCTCAGTGCTATTCTCAGAGTGTCAGTTTTACCCAGTGCTTCTTCCAGCCCCAGAGCAAGACTCTGAATCTTCTCAAAGGAATCACTGGGTCCAGCCTCTTTAGGGATTTCTCAATAAATCTCAGGGCCTTGCCCAGGGTCTCTATGCAGCTAAGTGTCATTCTCAGAATCACAGTGGTGTTCAGCATCTTGCCCAGAGTTTGACTGTCAGGGCCTTCCCAAGGGTCTTAGTGAGGCCTAGGGCCTACCCTACTGATTCAGTGACTTAAAGAACGCTGCACACTCTATAGTGGTACTTAGATTCTTCCACAGTATCCTCTGGAAAGAATGGCCTTCACCAGTGTCTCAGTGGGAAATAATTTCTTGCCCAGTGTGACATTAAAACTCAGGGAGATTTCTATTGTCACTGTGGTGCTCTAGGCCTTCTGCAGTGTCAGTGGATTTTGGGTCACCACATGTTTTTTAGTGTGAGCTTAGGGCTTTCTCTAGGATCTCAGTGTGGCTCAGTGCCTACTCCAATGGCTTACAGGGGCTCTGGGAATCTTTCAGTTTTGTTTATTTATTTATTTTTTTTTTTGTCTCTGGGTCTTCCATGAGGCTAAAGGCCTTCAACAGCTTCTCAGTGGGGTTTGGGGACTTCTTTAGCATTGAAGTTGAGTTGTTTTAGTCAGCTTTTTGCTGGTTTAATGTAAGGACCTGAACAAAACAACTGTGGAAGAGGAAAAGATTATTTGAAGGCCCACAGTTTTAGAGGTCTTAGTGTACAAAAGACTGGCTCCATTTCTCAGGATTCTAGGTAAAGCAGGAAATCATGATGGAAGAGTGCAGCAGCTCACAGAAAGAATAGGAAGTAGAGAGAGGAAACTCCACTCAAGAGATATAACATATATACCCCAGGCTGGGGCTGTAGCTCAGTGGCAGAGTGCTTGCCTTGCACACATGAGGTACTGAGTTTGACACTTAGACCACATAAAAATAAATAAAATAAAGACATGCTGTCTATCTACAACTACAAGAAAATAAATATTTATATATATACCCCAAAGTAATGCCCCCAATGTCCTATCTCTCCAGTCATACCCTATCAGCCTTCAGTTATCACTCAGTTAATTCCTATCAGGGAATTAACTCACTTATTGAATTAATGCTCTTAGGACTGAATGGTTTCTTCTCTGAACCTTTTACATTGTCTCACAAGTGAGCTTTTGGGGGACACCCCACATCCTAAACATAATATTCCACACCTGGCCCCGAAAAGCTCACAACCATCTCACAATGCAAAGTACATTTTGTCCATTCCCAAGAGTCTCCATGGTCTCAACAGTTCCAAGACTGCTCAGAGTTCAAGTCTATAGTCTTCTCTGAGGCTCAATGCAATCTTTCATTGTGAGCTTCCATAAGATTAAAAGCAATTTACAATTACCCAATATATAATGGGTACAAAGTAAACATTTCATTCACAAAATTAGGGGCATAGAAAGAAGGGATAGGATCAGAGCAAGACCAAAATCCAGCTGGTCAAACAGGTCCTCTAGTTCTGTGTCCACATCTGAAACACGTGGAATCATGATGTTCTTCCCAAAGGTCTTGTGTCTCCCTGCCCCTGTGGCCTTGTTGCTTGTAGCCCAAGTGGTTGTTCTGTGGGCTTGTCTCTGCTCAATTCCTGCAGCTTTCCAAGAATGATGTCCATGTTACTGGCATTTCTT